TTAGCTAATTGGCCTTTAAAGTTATTTTGAACAATTGTCAACTACAAAAAACCGAATAGTCTATATGTGAGTGTTTTAAGCGTAATCATCAGCATGATTATGGAGAGAATAAAGCGACTTCGACAAACTTTTTACAGGAGATGTAAACTTTGACTCTCCTTGCAATCATTCGCCTTTTGTCTATGATAAAAGTTACGCGACTTTTCRCTACAAAAATCTATGAAACTGAACAAACTGTCTGTAACAACTGTACAGCTGTCTAGGACAGTTGTTGGCATTGTCCCAGGTCACAATTTACTGGTAAAACGTGCGAGACGCAAGGTCATTATTAGGTTAGGTTGGTATGTTCGTCTAATGGGGGACAAATATACCACTTTTAGTCCTTTGATATACCGGATGCAGTTCAGTTCATGGACCTAGTATGAGGAGTAGTCATCCTTAAGGATGCCTGAGCTTGACGAGAAATCCAATAGACTCTGCGGCCTCACTATCGATACCTCTTTCAGTGTATCATACCGTGGAGACCCCAGATGCTTACAGAGTACAAAAAAGATACTCCATTGTTTCCCTCATGCCTTGCTCTAGACACTTCCTCTTCTAGTCGTCTTGATTTGTTAGCCTCATTCTGCTGGCGTGTGTCATAACTACCGGTATCGTTTACGATGGCATACATATGTAGAAAATGCAGTGCAGTAGGTATGTCATTAAAGTCATTGGAACACACGGTCTGCTTATGTTCAGCCTTTTCTAGAACTAGGCTTAGAATATCGCTTAGGAACCACGCAGCTCAATGGACTGGAAGAAGTATCAGAGTTATAAACAAATCCTCTACTAAACAAAGCAAGTTCCAGATCAATGGATTCGTTGAGAGAACATTTCGATGAGCTGATAATTTCACGTTTTGGGCCGATCGATTGATCACCAAGATCATGTGATATCATACCGGTAGACCTTCTCCTTTGTGGTATGTAAAGACTAAAGTCTATAAAGTTTACAATCAAAATACTTAACGAGTCATCGAAATTTGGATTTAATGGATGGACCGTCTGAGACATAGCCACGGCCCACATTTGAAAGAGATGATCTTCAGAAATTATATACCAAAGAATGTTCTTACGAATGATAATAAACATCAGAAATTAAATTAGAAGTTTCTGCATTTTTTCTAGTTGGGATCACCCTTTGTAAGGACGTTTTAATGCTTTCAATTTATCAATTTTTCTGTCCTTTGCCCCCCAAAAAGGTTTTGATTTTTAACAAAAAAAAAAAGGCAACTCGTGTGTTGGCAATTAYTTGCCTCGAACTCAGTCAATGAACTACGTCACCCACAAGTGCCAAGTAATACACATTGTTGTTGGTATTTGTTTAATTTGTTATAAGTACTCAAAATGTGTGGATTTAACTACTGGCACATTTGGCAAACGCGCAAATACATACATTACCGTTGCACGAAAATATACATATATAATGTACAGCTATACTATATAGATATAAATTGAAATAGACAGCACATTTTGTTAAGATCGATTGAAAACACATTTGGGAAACACATTTCGAGTTCGAAAATAGACAATATTGAATTGGACAGCAAGAAAAAATCGAATGAATAGACAACGMGATAAAGACGAATTACGCACGAGTCGCAGATAATAAATGCAAAACAGCTGTTCACTTATTTTAATTTTTTTTTTTTTTTGAGATTTTTTTCTGCATTACGGCTACTGAAACAAGTCAACCACGCTTCTCAAATAGAAATTTACGCATTAAAATGCAAAAAGTCGCYGACATGTCACACAAATACCGTTACACGCTTAGGCAAATGACAGCGAATAAAAAGTTGTACAATATCTGGGTGCCTAGGGGAAGGAGGGCTTACTTTTGAGTGCGTGCAAGTACTTTTTCATGYGGGTATACTAATTATATACACATATGTACATATGTGCATACTAACGTATGAGTACAGTGCCTCTGATAAGTCCAAGTTGGCTAATGATAAAATTAGCTACGAAAGCGCACGCAAAAACGCCCAAAAGCAATTAAGTGAAAGACAATCCAATGACAGCTCAAAACAAGAAATAAAAATTGAAGCTAACAACAGCTTGAAACACGTTAAATAAATAATTAAATCTAACRTTTGTAAGATATGTGTATATACCCATCTACATACTTAGGTATGTGTATACAAATCAAATTAACCTAAATAGCTGCACATGCGCCTATCATAGAGACAACGTTGGGCATAAATATTTATAAAGGTGTAAGAAAAAGTTTTTACTGTGCTAAGAAATGTCACCAAAGGTAATTTCTCTTTTGCGGAAAAAGTCATAACTTCGACTTACTAGTACACGCCTTTAAAAGACACAATTTTCACGACTCGTCTTCACGTTTAATGAGAAACATTGCATTTTTTTTTACTTCCGAGGACGGAAATTTTTCTGAAGTAGTTGCTATTTGCGTTGTAGTGTTTCCTAACTTTATAACTACATATAAAAAATCCTGAAATAAACCAAAAGTCCTTAGGATCCCAAATCGATGTTTCGGGATTAGATGGAATTTGCTTCCGAGATATGAAAATTTATAAGGAAGTATTTTCTATTAGTTTTGTAGAATGTCTTTTTRACTTTGAAAAATTATTAAATCCCGAAAATATTCGGGATCCCAAAATCGATGACTCGGGATTAGAAAAATTTTACTTCCGACATTGAAAAATTATAAAGAAGTACTTACTATTAGTATTGCAGTATGTCTTTTTTACTTTTAAAAATTATTAAATCTCGAAATGTCCCGAAAATTTGCGTGATCCCAAATTCAATGTTTCGGGACTAGAATAACCTTCTATGTACGTAATATGTGTTTTTTTTTAATAATTATTAAAACCCGAAATATTTCGTAAATATTCGAGATCCCAATATCGTTGCAATATGTGTTTATTACTTTGCATAATTACTAAATCCCRAAATATTCCGAAAATAGTAACGATATCGAAATCGATGCTTTGAGATACTCCGATAATGCAAATTTCTCTAGAAATATTTTATGTTTGCGTTTTTTTCATTGGATAATATAGTTGTGAAATCCCGAAATATCACTAAAAAAGAATCGGGATCCCGAAACTTCRAAATCGGAAAGAAAGAAATTGTCAGTAACAAATAAAGGGTTTTGAATTTTTATAACTTTTTAACCTAAGCCAATAATGTCATCACTTTGGGTTAAAAGCGGTAACTGTACCATTATTAAAAAGATTTATATGGTCTATATGTTCGAAGAGATTAGATAGATGGTTTTCAAATGCATTAAAGACATTGTTGTCAACTAAATGCTTTCGAATTCCTTTATATTCAGAGGAAGAGTTGTGGAACAGAGCTGGTACCAAATTTTTTAAAACCTYCGATTTGGATATTTTTGAGGCAGATTTCTGTCCGTATGCCATAAGAACTAACAAAAAATTTTAAAATACCTATGATCGAAAACTTGAAGAGACCAAAATAATTCAGTCTAAAAAGGTCTTAACACTTTCACAAATCTCCAGAAAACTTAGGTTCAACAGAGAATAAAAATAACAGTGGTTTGAAGTCTTTATTATAAGGCGAGCGGGACTTAAATGATCTTAACAAACTATGAATAAATAAAAATATAAAGAAGTTCAAAACTGCCAACTCTTTTTCGTGTTTAAAAGAAGTTTTCAACACTTCAAGCCTTCGTCAAGAGATTATAGAAACCTAGAAACTTTTGATTTAAACTTTTCACAAACTTCTAATTTGAAAAATGAAAAATTCATAATCGAATAATAGTAAAAAAAAAACTTGGCTTACAAACAATTCCGAATTGTGCAAAATTTACAAAATTTGTTTACAAAATATTCGTGTTATGAGTTTGCGCAAATAGGTGTGCCTGAGACTTGAGGAAAACAAACAGTAGATCTAAACATAAAACGAACTACCATTAAATTAACTGTGTCAATACTGAAAAGTATTGTTTGCAAACAACATGAAGATACCATTCYTCAGCAGCTCTGCGCCCAAAGGTAGGCAAAGTGTTATTTGTTTTTGAAATTTTCGAAACTTAACTGTGGCAACAAGCAGAACTATCAAACTGCGAAGAGCTGTAACTTGTAAGCRATGTTTTTGCAAAATAACTGAAATATTTAGTTTGTTATATAACTAGTATCTAGTTACTGAACCAACTTGTAGATTTTTTTGTGCAAAGTAATATAAATTTTGACCTGATGTTCATCTTGCTTGTTGCCACAGAACTGCTTAACGAGGAAGATATCGGTACGTGTGGTTGTTGTTCACTTGCAGAACCCGAACCCATATCATACGCATCGGAGTTYCGCGACTTTCTGCAAAACAATGCGCCACTGGATTTYGAGACGAAAATGGCGCGTGCACGTCCATTTATATTCGCTAGTTTTATAGCGTGGCCCGCATATTGGCTTTATAGAGGCATGGATTGGAGTAACCGGGCGCATGTGGAGCGCTCGCTTGTCACTTACATCAATCGGGTGAGGGATTAGAAATGGGAGTACATGGAACCTCGAATACATTTTTTATTTTTAACGAAAATATTTTTTTCTTCTTCTCTGCTACAGACCTTTCACCACGCAAAGCTCATGCAATTCACCATACTCGGTGTGGGACTAATGTTTGCGGTGTACGAGGAGAGTCCACTATTGCTTAAGGTCAATAATATGCTGCAAGGTTTCGACGAAGAGGACTACCGTGCTAAAAACACCGTTGTTGATTGAGTTAACGGAAGTAGACGAGAAATTAACGAATGAAATTTAAGAGTTCTCGTATAAAGCGATTCGATTAAATTAGCAGACTCTGCAGAAAAGATCGCATAGAAGATGCATTCAATCAAAATTATCAAAATTATTTTCTTACTTAAGAACTCGAGCGAGCAAAACCACTGTGAACTTCGGCATTGAAGTTGGTTGTGGCAAATGCTTTATATTTTTGACTTCTGACATTTGTTGAATAAAATCTTAAAAATATATACAGCAATTTTTTGGTTCCAAAATTCGAAAACAAATTTTTGTATTTTCATTCAAGCCTTTGTGTGCATTTTCAAATTATGGTGGTAACAATTGCGCGTGCGAAACTACATATTTAAGATTGAGACAGCGAGCGCTGAGTACGCCGAGTTGTGTGTGAAAGATCTAGTAGAGTAGAGAACTAAAAATTTATATAAAATCCCGTGCTTTGAGTAGAACTGCAACTTTCTTTAGAAACCTAGTATTTCTTRGGCAACGTGCTACCAGCAAAATGTCGCTATTAAAAAATCTCTTCCAGAGTAAGACCTCCCAACCGGCTTACGGTGAGAATRGTGGGTTCATTTGAAAATAAAAACWTTAAATTTGAAAGTAAACATTATCTTCTCAACAACACAGTGCCACGTSAAGTSAACATGGGTGAGGARGTACGCCGTTTGATGCACAGGCAGGATATTGAAGCGGCTATGGAGTCTGCGAAGCCTTTCCTACTGACTGCTGCGCTAGCTTGGCCCACAGTTTGGCTGTATCGCGGTTTCGAGTGGCATACAAAGCGCGGTAAGGAGACGCTGCCGCTCTATATAAGAAAGGTGGGTCTCAGTAAATATGAATTRATCGAGGACGACCTTGAATATTATTTYCCGTATTTTGCAGACTTTCTTTGCCGCTAAGATTACACAGCTCTCAGTGCTTCTACTTGGTCTAGCTTATGCTATCGGCAGTACACAGCCACGTCACTTTTAATTTGACTYGTATTTTACTAAAATAAGGAAAGAAAGATCGGGCGGGATGCTCGAAACTAAAGCAAGTTCTAAAATAAAAAAATACTGCTTGTGTTCGTCTTCATGTTGCGGAAATGTCAACCAACAAAAATTAATAAAAATAATTATATTATATATAGTAATCAATTAGACAAATAATTGTAGGAGACTCGAAAATAAACAGCTGAAGCTTATGTAGCAGAAATAATTGTAACAAATCATCTACAAATTATTAAAGAAGAGCTGAAAGGACTAAACTTAAATGTAAACTATTTTGAAGTTTTATTTCTAAGTGTTAAAAAGGGGTGTTCTGGTCTATGAATGAAACTGGGAAAAAATATACATATTCTTTACTAGAAGATATTGTCGAAATCTGAAGCTGATCTTAGTGACTTTTTTTCGCAGCCAACTTCATGCTCAACCTCTTTACCAGCTAATACATATTTTACTGTGTTACTATCAGCTCAAACCACTTCGAAGGTCGCTAGTCACCAAGAAAAGTTTATGTTGTCTGTTTGGTGGGATTCCAAACGGATCGTTTCTGAGCTTTTGTCCGACAATATTAAGTGATGCACTCAAACAGAAAAGGCCAGAATTGATGAACAAAGTGTAATGTTCCACCAGGATAATGCGACAGCTCATACAAGTTCTATGACTCGCCAAAATCTCCAGAAGGTGATATATTCTCTATTACTTGTTTCGATCCCTTCAAAAT